AGCGCAGCAGAATAAACAAAAAAAGCTAGACTACACAATGTTCCAAAAGAATGTCTTAGTCTAGTACAAAAGGAAAGGAGGTCGCTCTATGCGTCCACCTCGGGATCCACACTCCCATCCAGTGGAGTCTCCCAAGTAGCGGACTCCTTGACCCTTACGTCCTCCTCCTCAAGCGGGTAATCTAAAAAATGTTAGCGATAGGGGGTGAGCACGAAGCTCTGTAGAAAAATTCTCCCAAACCCATACAAGGTTTAGAAAAGCATTTNCAGCGGAATAAACAAAAGAAGCTAGACTACACAATGTTCCAAAAGAATGTCCTAGTCTAGTACAAAAGGAAAGGAGGTCGCTCTATGCGTCCACCTCGGGATCCACACTCTCATCCAGTGGAGTCTCCCAAGTAGCGGACTCGTTGACCCTTACGTCCTCCTCCTCAAGCGGGTAATTTGAAAAATGTTAGCGATAGGGGGTGAGTACGAAGCTCTGTAGAAAAATTCTCCCAAACCCATACAAGGTTTAGAAAAGCATTTAAAACGGTCGGTCTCAATTTTAACATAACATAGATACATAATTTAAAATAAAGCAGTGACATTTAAAAATGATCTCAAGTTTATTTTAAAATATTACTTAAATAAATAAACGAGCACCACATACAAATAATAACCATTAATTGTCATAACCAATTCCCAATAATTCTTTCGGTAGGTAGCATACTTTGTGGTAACCTCCACCCCTCTTTAGGTCACCTTTGATTCTCAAGCATCCTTACCGGGAATCTCTTGAAAATGGATGAGCATCCTTATACGGAACCTCTCACCAATCACTATATTATTTTCCAAGCATCCTCACTGGGAACCTCTTGGGAAGGGGTGAGCAACCTTACAAGGAACATCTCACTCATGTGCATCACAAACAACCCAACCAAGCATACAATTCCAACATTTATCTCAATTTATAAGCATCTATCCAAAATTCTCAAAATATATCATTTAAGAATTCCACAACCAACTAAGAAAATACATGAGATCACAATAACATCATTTTTCTACCCAACACAAAGCACTAAGGTTTCAAAATTCATAATAAAGAAAGCATTTAGGAAGGAAATACATCACTCTCCAAAAATTAGGGTTTTAAAACTAGAAAGGAGATTTCATGGGTATTAAACCCTATTTTGTTCAAAACATGTAATCCTTGCAAAAAGCCTAAGAGAGGATGATTCCATAGCATGTATATACCATTGATAGCCAAAACATACATATATAAATACCCTAGCCTCAATGTAAGTGAATGAAAGAAAACCCCTACCTTGAATCCTTAGCTTTGGAGTGAAGAACAAAAATATTTGATCATCAATCACCCTTGAATATCTTGTNTGATTTCATAGCATATATATACCATTGATAGCCAAAACATACATATATAAATACCCTAGCGTCAATGTAAGGGAATGAAAGAAAACCCCTACCTTGAATCCTTAGCTTTGGAGTGAAGAACAAAAATATTTGATCTTCAATCACCCTTGAATCTCTTGTTTTTCCATTCCTTTCTTCTTCTCTAATGCTCTCTAGGGTTTCAAGAGGTGTGGGGGTGTGAGAGGAGTGAAGGAAATGAGAGAAAATGAGATGAAAATGTAAAACATAGTAGCCCCGAAAAATACTGTTCATAGGCTGTTTTAGATTTTTCCAAATTTATGATTTTGCCACTAAGAATCTCCAATTTGATCCATATGACTACCTTAAGGTTTGTCGACGTTACATAATCATTTTTAATGTTATTTTAACCTAAAAATATTTATTTTTATGATTTATCTCAAAACCTAAGTAAACGTACACCCGAAACACTAAAATTTATATTTTACCCATCTGAATCGGCTATTAATGAAGTTTTGCGATGTTGGCAAATAAAATATAAAAAAGGGTGTTTTTTAAAGCCTTTTATACTTATTTGAAGCCTAAAAGTACTCATTATTCTTATATTTTGATTTAGGATGCAAATGGAGACATTAAATGCAAAACGAAGCTAATTGGACTGTTTCGACATCGCTTCGTTATCTGGGCATAACTCTCTCATCTGAGCTCCGATTGAGATGATTCAAGATGCTATGGAATGATACGAAAGAGCTCTAAAACTTTCATGTTTTGAGTTTTGAGAGATATTGACTGCATCAAGGTCTAAATCGAGCTTGAAGTTGCAGCAGTGCACTGTTCATAGCCTGTCTTCGTCCCTTTTCCATTTCCAATCCATTCCTAAGCCAACCAAATCTATCCCAAACCTCTCCAACACATATTTCTACACCAAACCTATTTAATACAAGTTCTAGGACCTAAAATTTCATATTTTCACTTATTAAAACCAAATTTCAACTATTATTTTCACTAACATTTTAAATCTCTACTTTTCCAATCTACCAAATTCAAACACACATCACTACATATATCCACATTTTTTTTACCACAATTATTTACTATATATCTATATACATATATAAAAGAAAATGCGGGGTGTTACAATTACACCGTGTAACCACTCGTATTGCACATAAGCTAGAAAGGAAATCCCCAATTGGGTGATTGCATGATTGGAGGCAAAATAAGCATGTTTTTAAGGTTTTTGAAAGCTGCCTTAAAATCAGCTGACCACTCAATAGGAACATCATTGGCCAATAGATGACATAAAGGTTATGCCAAGGAACTAAAACCCTATATGAATCGCCTATAAAACCTGGCATGACCAAGGAATGATCGAACATCTTTAATAGCCTTTGGATTAGGGAGGTTAGAAATTAACTCAACCTTTGCCTTATCCACCTCTATTCCCTTTTTAGACACAATGTAACCAAGTATTATTCCTTGAGCCACCATGAAATGACACTTTTCTAAGTTAATCACCAATCCTTTAGCTTCACATCTCTGAAGCACCAACTCCAAATTTTCTAGAGATCCTTCAAAGGTATCCCCAAAAATAGAAAAATTGTCCATAAAAATCTTGATAACTTTCTCTACCATGTCGCTAAAAATTTCCATCATGCACCTTTAATTTTGGGTGGGGTCTAAATTGTACTGTCTATTCTTACGTGACTCACGTCACTTTTAAATTTATTGTCTCAATCCTTTGATGGGATTGAGTTTTATTATTTATATTAGGCAATCCGTACTTGAAGCCACGGTAAAAATTTAAAAGGAATGTTTGTAGTTGTTAAATGAGTCTATTTGAGACTGTATAAAAAGATTTATTGAAACTTGTCCTATTTTATATTATAGATAATTTTAATATTTCGAATAGTATAGACATTACATAGTATTTTTTTTTTCTATACGAAAAACTGAAATGATTAATTATTATTATATTATTAGTACAATACTAACAGAATTTTAAAAGTACAGCTTACTAAATATTTTTCATCTCATAAAGTAAAAAACTTTTATTTAATATTCTGATAATTACATATCATAAGTTTTTAATATATTTAACATTAATTGAGTCTCGTAATTTTCATTTGTGATACCAAATCATTATAATTATGTAGTATCACCGATACATTTGATGCCAGTCCCCCTCCCTGTTCCCTCCCGCACCCACCCCTCGCTTTCCTGATGGGCATTATTTACTAACTCATCAATTGGGATTTTTTCATTTTTCGTTTTTCAATTTTGGACCTATATGCAACTTTTGAAGTCAACTATGAATTTAATTTTGTGTGGGGTCTACGTTGGATTTTCTATTCTTATGTGACTCACGTCGCTTTTAAATTTATTTTCCCAATCCTTGTATTGATATGCAGGCAAAACTTTGACCTTGGGTCTAGCTAGTCTATGTACGGATAAGTCAATGTTACCCAAGTTCTTTGCCCTTAACTATACTCTATTATTCATGACCGAATTAATAATTAGAAATAAGTTTATATTTATTTTTATTGTTTTCTTCTTATTTGATTTAAATACTAGGGATTTTAGTCTAGTATCACCCGTGATACTCCTAAATGAAAGGTCATGGATTGAGACCCATAAAAGACGTATTTTTCTCTAATGTATCTCTTTTATTATGATTTGACACAGATAAATTAGACGTTTAACAACATATTTGAGAAGTTTTTTCTTCTTCCATTGAAAAAAGAACCCATGAGATCAGGTTTAACATGATTTCATGAATGCCCACAAGCTATTTTTTGTATATGATTAAGAACTGTAAGAGGGATTGCTGGAAAAAAATCTCCGCAACAATTTTTGGGGTCCAATTGAAGCTTTTATTTTTATTTTTTTATTATTAGTACAACTGTTAAATAAGATAATTGAATGGATGACCTCCACTCCCTTAACGTGGGGTTAACCGTCTTGGGGGTCTGTCCAACTGAAACTTATACTGCTATAGATACGTCCTTCAACTTCAATATGTCAATATGGTTCAATCCCATTACACTCTTTTTCAATGGAAAAATACTGCAAGTTCAGTTCATGTAATTTTAGCAGTTGAAAGAAAAGGAAAAATCATGAATGTAAAACCCATTCATGTACATGAATTTTAGATGGAGAGAAAATGTGGAACATGAATTTATGCGATTCAACTTATAAGACCTATATTCATGTACACACTGTCCAAAAAAGTTTCCACATTATTGATAGATGAATTACATTGGGGTTATTTATTTCGATACAAGAAAGATCGTCTATATTTATTGAGCAAGATACATTATCATGATTCACGTCATGCATTCTTAAATCATAGTATGTTCAATTCTTCAACAACGATAATTTTATGAGATGTTCGTATCTTCAATAGAAAGATTATTTATTGTACATTACATGGAGTTGAATAAAATGATCGACAATTTCAGGCCCGCACACAGTTTTACTATAATTTTTATTCAATTTGACATGATAAAATACATTCTAATAAAAGAGAGAAAAAAAAAACAGTAGAGCAGAGTAAGCTTTGATGGCTTTTGCTTCAAACATATAGAACCACTGAACCAAAAAACCTGGTTCTGCTTGTCCCATCCAACTCTATGGAGGTCTGTTGCAACGGGTCACGGCACTACACCCGCGGCTGTACGGGGTATTTGAGACAGAGCTAGGGGCAGAGATATATTTTTCAAGGGTTCCATATGAAATGTAATCCGACTTGCCAGGCACTGAGGAAGGAGAAACTGCCATCTTATTAGGCCTATCTGCAGAAAAACCATGTCTGCGGGCAGAGTCGAATTTTTTTTTTTTTAAGTGGACACATTAACACGTGCAATAAACATAAAAGATTAAAAATCTATATAATAAAGTATAATATAATTCAAATTTTAAAAAAGAAATAAAATAACTTTTATTTTTCGTGGTTGAGATCTTTTTAAATTTTATTGTAAAGTTAATCCAATGGTTAATATTAATACATCAAATTTAGTAGGAAAAATAAGCTCTTAAGGGTGTGTTTAGAGTGACTTTTTAAAGTATTTCTAAAATTCATAACTTTTCATAAGAACTTTAAAAAAAAAAATTGTGTTTGAAACTGTTCCACCACCACCCCTCACCACTACAGTTGCCTCCGCCACCCCCCTGCCACCACCACCATCCCACTGCCACCCACCACCACCTACACCTCTGCCACCCCCACCCCACCCTCACCACCACCTCCACCTCTGCCACCCCCACCCCACCCTCACCACCATCATAATCCACCACAGATTGCTACAACTGTCGTCTACCGTCACTATCCACTACTATCGTCATCTCATTCATATATTTATTACTATTACCATCGTCGTCCACCGTTAACACCCACTGCCACTCATTACCACAACCCATCACCATCTGTCGTTGCCAGCCATTATCACCCACCCTCACCACACCTACCGCCACCCGTCATCGGCCACCACCGCCATCACCCATCTCTCCCACACCTACCAACACCCACCAGTACCGTCATTCGCCACCACCCATCACACTATCGCTTAGAAGCACCCGTCGTCGTCCACCACCACCATCGTCATTGTTCACCACCACCACTGTCAACCACCATCACCCACACTTCCCCACCACAACCATCATTACCCATGATTGATATTACCATCATTTTCACCCAAAACCCACAATCACCATCATTGTTATAACTCATGGCTACCATTACCACCACCCGTCATCACCACTCATTACAATCATCACCATTTTTTACCACCATCACTGTTGTTCACCATCATTATCACCGCTCATTCCCACTATTATCGGTGCTTATATATTTTTTTTTTTTATAATTTAATTTTAGGTGTAAATACAAATATGTTTTATTGTTACCTATTTTTTTATTATTTCGTACCTTCAAGCAGGGGAAATAACTAATCGATATAAATATAACATAAACAAAAATAAAAATAAAATTTCTTTCAAAAAGGCGACTAATTATTATCACTTACAATTGACCCCGATATATTTTTATTATTTGAAAGAATTAAAAATCAATTTAATCAACAATATTTCTTTTATACATAAAATTATGGTAACAATCTTCCATATTTATGATCTTATAATTTAATACATAATGACAGACATTTTTATAAAATAACAAAATAACCTTAAAATGAGATTTAATTGATTGAGATTCAATGGTTTATTACCATTAGATAAATAGCGAAGCTTATTAAATATTAACACTCATTATTAGATTTAATATCACAATGTATTAGGTTCTTAAATTATATTTCAATAATATTGTTCGAAAAGTTAACAATCATTTAGGTAGGGGTCTGTTTAAATCGATATAACCAGAATACAATATTAGAGAGAACATAATAATATATCTAATTTTTATTTCATAAAATGTATGTTTAATATGAAGGAAAAAAAATTTTGAGGAGCCCAAGGTGGCTCCACCCCGACCCATGACGGTCAAGTAAGAGAAAAGAAAAAATATTTAATGTAATAATATATCAATCATGATACGTGATATCGACAACAAATAAAAAATAAAAAAATAAATAAAATAAACCCCACCGTTGCATTAACTAAAAAATACTATCGCATCCAACAATTGTCATTTTAAAAATAGAGTTTATTTGGTGTCTTGTTATTAATTGGTGATATAACATGATAATGATAACGTGATATTATCGTTATATTATTTGTACAGTACTAACAGAATATTCTGATAATTACATAACATTAAGTTTTTAATATATTTAACATTAATTGAGTATCGTAGAAAATTTTCGCCTTAGATCCGTAGCGGTTGGGCGAGTGGGGCCGCCCTGGATGCAATTAATCCTGAAATCTCAGTGAAGCGAAACTTCAAGTGGTCGGTCCACAACAATCGAGAAAACTGATATGCAGGCAAGACTTTGACCTTCTGCCATGGTCTATGTACGACTAAGTCAATGTTTTCTAAGTTCTTTCCCACCAACTATACTCTATTTTTCATGACCGAATTAATAATTAAAAATAAGTTCATATTTATTTTTATTATTTTCTTTTTATGTGATTTAAATAGTAGGGCTTTTAGTCTAGTAGTATCACCCGTTATACTCCTAAATGAAAGGTCACGGATCGAGTCCCATAAAAGACATGTTTTTTTTTTTTTCTAATTTCTCTCTTTTACTATGATCTGGTACAAACAAATTAATCGTAGAATAACATATTTATGAAGTTTTTCCTTCTTCGATTAAAGAAAGAGCCCACGGAATCAAGTTTAACATGATTTAATGAATGCCCACAAGCTATTTTATGATATAATTAAGAACCACAACAGGGATTGTTGAAAAAATCTCTGTAATAATTTTTGGGATCCAACTGAAGTTTTTTAATTTTTTTATTATTAGTAAAATTACCAGATAAGATAATTGAATCGATGACCTCCATTCCCTTAACACGAGGTTAACCATCTCAGGGGTCTATCCAACTGAAACTTATATTGCCATAGTTTCTAATACATTCCCGGTGGCCTCTGGTTCAAGATACATCCTTCAACTTCAATTTTTTTTTTAAACATAATAGTTAGTTTATATCATTCACTGAAATTTTATTTGTTATACCTATTATTTTGATTTGTGATTCATGTTTATAGTTATAACTATATGTATATGTTGTTGATAGTAATATTGCTGAGCAGATGATTGAACGTTGAAATAATGAATTTTGGTGTAATGAAAGATACATTTTTCAATATTTTCAACACTCTTTTATTTGGTATGCCTTTTAATTGAACACAATTTTTTTTTCTCTGTGGTGAAGGCACTGACAATTACTAGTATGTCAATATGGTTCAATCCTATTACACTCTTTTTCAACGGAAAAATCATGAATGTAAAACCCATTATCTTTGATGTCCCCCTCCATGTTTCACTACTTCTAACTGAATGACCATTCATCAAAGAAACTTTTCATCCTTACCAGGCCCGGCCCTATGGTATCAAAATAAAAGTGGGGCTTTAAGCCTCACATACGAAAAACCCTCAAATTTAAAGATTAATAATATAAGTTAAAAAATAAAATTTACTACAATATTGGCTAAAAACTTAATTTTTGAAACAGTAAACCGAACAAAAAAATTAAAAATTTGGGCCTAAAAGTTCAGACCTCCTCACACAATCACATTTATTAAAGAATAAAAAAGATTAATAAAAAAAATACTGACACAACTGACTGATGTTTGCTGGGATGTTGCTATGCTGTTTGTGCAGATGAATGTTTTAGGTGTGTGCTGTCTGTTATGGGCAGGTGGTCTGCGCTATCTTTTGGGTGCCAGGAGGCAGCTGATGTGCTGACTGTGTATACACACAGGCAGTGCAGCTGGTTTTGTTCTAGCAGTTGTTTCATCAATTGCAGCAGGTGTTTAGGTTTAATACCTTCTCATAGGTGTTGATTTCATGATGTTGTGTCTGCTGCATTTATGGGGTCTGATGTGCTATTTTCTGTGGCTGTGCTGGGGGGACTGCTGAGCTGTGTGTGCTTCTGATTTGGAGCTGGTTCAGCAGTTGTGACAGGCATACTGCTTTGCTGGTTTTCAGTTACTGTTTTCCAACTGGAATCTCAACTGGTTTTTGCGGCTTCCAGATGGTCTTGCTCTTGGTGCTCGCAGCTGGTGGTTTCCTTGGTTTCCCAGCTGGTTTCCAGCTGGATTTATTCTGGATCTTCAGCTGGATTTTCGACTGGTCTTTTGTTGGCATTCATTTCCCATTATTAAGACGTTTTTTGTCCTTTTGAAAGCTAAGCCAACAATGGCTTCTCTTGTTTTGTTAAGATGTGTTTATTTGCTTCTTGTAATATCTTTTCTATTCAATATATTTTTCTCTTTAAAAAAAAAAATACTGACAAAATCTATCTCTTTCTCCAATTGAAAGAAGTGTAATAAACATCTCTTTTTAGTCAAAAAAAAAAATCAAATCAAACACAATTTTTACTTCTCTTAAACTTGTTTTTTTTTTCTCATTTGAATGCAAAACACCAATTAAACCATTCATTCTCATTAAAAAAATATTTTGACAAAGTTTTTATTTGTAACAAATAAAATATAACAAAAAATTAGGTGAAAGTTGCATGGATAAATAAATAAAATTCAAAGATAGTAAATAATCCAAAAGAAGGACAACAATGAATTTATTTATAATAAAGTTAATCATTTAATTTCACAGTTTCGATAAAACATATAAAACAAATAAAAAGAACATAAAAATATTAATGAAGAAATTAATTTTATTCCTATAAATATTTATGATCAAAAGTCATATTATTAATTAAAATATATATTAGCAAAATTTAAATAAAAAAATTTGTAATTTCAAATCTCATCAAAAAATAAAAATAATAGATTTTAAATTGAAAAATTAAAAAAATATAAAAGCATCATTGACCTTCATTAATTTAGGCCTCAAATGTTGTTAAGCAACCCCGATCCTTCCTAGAAAAATCTTGAATTTTAGATGGACAGAGATAAGTGATCTGAAAAAAGAGAAAATGTGGAACACAAATTTAGGGTTATTTATTTTGAAACAAAAAAGATTGTCTATATTTATTGAGTAAGATACATTATCATGACTCATAGCATGCATTCTTAAATCATAATATTTCAAATCTTCAACAACGGTAATTTTATGAGATTCTCGTATTTTCAACAAAAAAAATTATTCATCGTACATCACTCGGGAGTTTTTGCTTTGAAAGTTTTTGCTTCAAACATATGACACCGCTGAACCAAAAAGCCTGGTCCTGCTTTTCCGATACAACCCTATGGAGGTACGTTGCAACGGGTCAGGTTACTACACCCGCGGCTGTATGGTCTCCCTCGGTTGTACGGCGTATTGGAGACAGAGCTAGAAGCAGAGATATTTCCATATGAAATGTAAGTCGATTTGCCAGGCACTGAGGAAGGAGAACTTTTGCCAGTTGAAGAATGTGCTATAGGTGACCGACTTCCATGTACTCCCATCTTACTTGGCCTATCTGCAAAAAACCCATGACCAGGGGTCGAGCGAGGAAAATTTTTTAGGATGAAAACATTAACACGTTTCGTAAATATAGAAAATTAATAATTGATATACATAACATGAACAAAAAAAAATATTTAAATTTTTTTATCAAGAATGCGACTAATGATCATCACTTACAATTGACCCAATATATTTTTATTATTGGAAATATTTAAAAATTAATTTTATCAACAATATTTCTTTTATACATAAAAGTGTGGTAACACTCTTCTATTTATGATCCTATAATTTATTACATAACAATACACATTTTTATACATTAACGAAATAACCCTAATTTGATATTTAATTAGTAGAGATCCAATGATTTGTGACCATTAAATAGATAGTGAAATTTATTTATATATTAAGATTTGTGACCAAGTTGGCTCTGCCCTTGCCCACGACCGTCAAAGTAAGAGANGTGTGGTAACACTCTTCTATTTATGATCCTATAATTTATTACATAACAATACATATTTTTATACATTAACGAAATAACCCTAATTTGATATTTAATTAGTAGAGATCCAATGATTTGTGACCATTAAATAGATAGTGAAATTTATTTATATATTAAGATTTGTGACCAAGTTGGCTCTGCCCTTGCCCACGACCGTCAAAGTAAGAGAGAGAAAAAAATATTTAGTGTAATAGTGATATCAGTCATGATAAGTAATATCGGCAACCAATAAAATAATTGGCAGAGCAAATAAAATAAACACTACTGTTATAGTAATTACAAAAAATTATCACATCCAACTACTGTCATTTGAATAATGGAGTTCACTTATNCGACCGTCAAAGTAAGAGAGAGAAAAAAATATTTAGTGTAATAGTGATATCAGTCATGATACGTAATATCGACAACCAATAAAAAAATTGACAGAGCAAATAAAATAAACACTACTGTTACAGTAATTACAAAAAATTATCACATCCAACTACTGTCATTTGAATAATGGAGTTCACTTATTATTTTGTTATTAGTTAGTAATACAACGTGGTGGTGATGATGTGATATCATGATTATTTTTTACTAGAGAGAGAGAGAAAGAGAGCATTACTACTAGGTGTGGAGGTTAATATCCGCGCTATCCGATCAGACATGACTGGTGAGACGATGAAGAGCCAAATGAGGAACAAGCAGCATACGAACAAGCAAGCAGAGGAAGAAGCGGTTTTGTGCGACATTTTGCTATAAGAATCTAGTCCTGGGAGTGAAAGTATATATGCTTGTGTAAGCTGTGGCTTCCACCACATGAACATGGTAATGGGAGACATGGAATAGTACTTTACTGTTCTTTTTTACGTGTGAAAAGTGCTTTACCAAGACTTCGAAGTGTAGCGTGCTTGACTCGTCATGGGAAAAGTAGCAAATTTTTTTCTTATTGGCAGTTTCATGGAAATTGTCCCTCAAATGATTTTTTATGGTGACAGTTTTTATTAATTGTTTTTTTTGTTCACAAATTTATATACACATACATAAATTTTTCATTTTTTCATTGTTATAGGGACATCAAAAGGGGCTAAGGTCAATAAGTTTAAAAATTGGCTAAAATTTTTTAAAAAATAAAAATTGAACTTTGGACATCAAATTGAAATAGGGCAAAAAGTTAAACACGTGCAAATTTGTACTGTAANGTCATTTTTTCATTGTTATAGGGACATCAAAAGGGGCTAAGGTCAATAAGTTTAAAAATTGGCTAAAATTTTTAAAAAAATAAAAATTGAACTTTGGACATCAAATTGAAATAGGGCAAAAAGTTAAACACGTGCAAATTTGTACTGTAACCCTTGTTCGACTCGTGAACCAATTCATGCAACTTAGTGCTAACGATTATTTAGAAATTGGCTAACATTCAATACAAATAGAGAGCATAAAAATTTGTGGGCGGTTTATGTGATTAACCAAGAAACATAAATTAATAAACATAAGTGCAAACGATAGGTCCACAATAAGGATGAGAATTCAGAGACAGCCAAGTCAAGAGGATATAGACATCGAAGTTGGGGTCAAACCAAAGGATGAGAATTCAGAGACAGCCAAGTCAAGAGGATATAGACATCGAAGTTGGGGTCAAGCCAATCTTTTGTAAGGATTAATAACATTTTTGGTCCTTAGAGTATATATTTTTTATCATTTTAATCTTTATTATATTTATTTTATCAATTTAATCTCTAAAATATTTAATTCGTGTCATTTTAATCTCTATAAAGAAAAAAGTGGTACATGCAATTTAGGGGAAAAAAAAAAGACAGTTACAGATTTAAAAACCTATTAACTGTAAGATCAGCAAGACATGTAACCCCAACAAAATATGATGAAATTTTCTTTTATAGAATAATATAACATTACAATGATCCAACTGACAGCCCTTTGCCAAAAGCCAGATCGGAGAGAGATTATTTATTTATTGTTAATTTTTGGGGGTGGGAGTGGGAGGGGGAGGGGGTCTTTAACCCTTAATCTTAAGAAGATAAAATTTTCACAAGACAAAGAGTATTATTGAACCAACGGCCCGTTGGTCGGAGAGAACTTATCCTCTTCATAAAATGTTTATACATATTTAAATTTAGAAGGTTTTCAAATTATTTTAAATATTTAATGTAACATATTAAATATTTTTATGTTTATATTAAAATTTANCCTCTTCATAAAATGTTTATACATATTTAAATTTAGAAGGTTTTCAAATTATTTTAAATATTTAATGTAACATATTAAATATTTTTATGTTTATATTAAAATTTAATCATGGTGGACTTTAGGCAAGTGGGGCACTAAGGGTGGGGGCCCAGGTGCTCATTCGTTGGCTGCCACTGAGCCCCCTTAACAACGCAATTTCTAATGATACAAAAAATTAACGTATGCGCAATCAACAACTGAGTGAATGGTGCAAGATAATTAATGAGATAATTAATAAAACAACCAATGATAAAAAGGTAACTATTAGGTCAACACACAAATATATAATGGTTTAGTTTGGGTGGCCTACTCCACTCCAAAAAATGGCAACGGTGGCCGAAAAATTAATAAAGTAAGGTGAGCAGGAGAGAGAGAACAATGATTAGCTCCGGGAGAGACATAATAACTAGGAGAGAGGGGAAAACTATGTGAGGGGTGTGTACGGAGGTCCCCTCGCATGTGGAAGGAGTTTACAATTTATAGGCACAAAGCCCTTAAGTAAGGCAGTGACGTGAGAATAAAGACAATAGTCCTTCGGGAAGGATAACTACAAAAGGTAAGTATAATTAAAGGTTGTATTGATCATTGAAAGTGGATATCTCAATGATTACTCCCCACATGCTCTAATCTTCTTGGACTCCTAAGGCCTTATACTGGGTTGACTTCACGAGTTAGGCTTGACTGATCCTTTTAGCTGATCTGGGCTTGCTCGACTAATTGGGCCTAACCCAGTAAAATCTAGGCTCTTTAATTTCCATAACCGTTGGTTTTGCACACTACAGAACCTTGCATAACTGAATTAGAACCGATCCCTTTGGTAGGAGAACTTTGGGCAGTAGAAGAATGGGAAACATGCGAGGGATTTCCATGTACTCCCATCTTGGTGAAAAAAAAAAATCATGAACAAGAAAATATCAAAGAGAGAGAGAAGGGATGGGAGGGAGAGAATATTCAATGTAACGATGATACTACATTGTCGTTAACGCCTGACATCACCAACTAATAATAATATACAAAGTAGGTAAAGTGAATTCTCTTCTTACTAACTATAAATTGACGAGCCCAAAAATAACTGGGCCAAGCCCAATTAATCAAGAGAGGCCCACGTCAACTTAGAGCCCAAATCAACAAGTCAATGAGACGCTCAAGTTAAGGGGAAGCCAAGGGCAAGGAGGAGTCCAAGGGGGACACCCTCAAAGGGACACTCCAAGGGGAGCTGCCCAAGGGGGCTACCCAAAGGGCGTCGCCCAAGGGAGGCCACCCCAAGGGGATCCTCTCCCTCCTTTGTCCTATACTCTCTCTCCTACGCAACCTCGTGGAGTCCTTCGCCCTCGTGACCCTATGACTCCAATTCAAGTCCAGCACCCACCAACTCAAGTCCAATCCAGCTCAGGATCTTCCTCATACAGAATAGGAACACGAGGGAGAGAATATCGGGATACGCACGGAGATCTAATCTTATCTTGATTGTACTTACCAAAATAGTAGAAGTCCTCTCACTCACGTCACCGCCTCATTAAACCTATATAATGTAACCTCTCTCCACAAGTAAAGACATCTTGACATGACCTTGAGACCCCTACACTCATCACTTCTCTCTCTCTCTCTCCTAAAAGCATTGTAATACTCCCAGAGTTACTCTCCTGGTGACATTTTTCATCAATAAGATCTTTGGTCACCGCTGCCGTTCCCGAGAGTGGAGTAAGTCACTGGACCGAACCACTACAAATCTTGGTGTTTATTCCCTTATTTATTATTTTGTCATTGATTACCTATTTACTACTTATTAATTGTGTCTCTTGATATACTCAACTGTTAATTTTGCATAATACTAAATTGTGCATCATCAGTTTGGCGCTGTCTGTGGGAATCGACTACTTTTTCTACTTTGTCAATCCATGACAATCACTACCAGATCAATGAGCCAACAGCCAGGAGACAACAACCTGCCCACCGGGAGGAGGCTCTGCTTCCCCTCACACTATCGGAACTATCTGCTACAACGACCCCCATCGTTGGACAACAATAACTCCTCCAAACCATGCAACTGCTGTTGAACCAAAACCAGCAGATCATCCAATCGATGCTCGCCCAAAGGGGCATTGCTCCTCACCCCGTGGGAGGAGTTCCACTCCCTCCAATAGGAGAGGAGCAGCAAACCTTCCCTTCNGCTCCTCCAAACCATGCAACTGCTGTTGAACCAAAACCAGCAGATCATCCAATCGATGCTCGCCCAAAGGGGCGTTGCTCCTCACCCCGTGGGAGGAGTTCCACTCCCTCCAATAGGAGAGGAGCAGCAAACCTTCCCTTCGGGGCACCAGGCGGCCCCTCACCATAGGGGCCCTTGCCAAAATGCCCCACGGCTACACCAGGGTGCCCCTTGCCCAACGATCCCTCCTCAGCGAGCAGAGAACTCTCGTGTACCCCTTCTGCACGTACTTGTGTAGGACAATGAAGACGAAGAAAGCCAATACGGGGATCATGAAAACCAGTACCACCATCCAATTTAGGATGTCTCCAATCAATGGAATAGAAAGATTAGAGACTTGCAAAACTAACTTGGTGATGCCCTCAACGCTATCAAGACATAGGCACCCGAGACCGTGAACTACTTGGTAAGACGTACTGATATGCCTTTTGTTGCTGATATTGTCAATCACCCTTTGCCCTCAAAGTTCAAGATGCCCACCATCAAGATTTTCAACGGCACTAAAGACCCCCTCGACTATTTGGACACATACAAATCTTTCATGTAATTCCACAACGTGCCCGAGGAGATTATGTGTAGGGCTTTTCCTACCACCTTGAAAGGTTCTGACTGCCAATGGTTTATAAAGATTAAACCCTCCTCCATCTACTCCTGCGCGAAACTAAGTAGGTCATTCGTCTCCCACTTTATTGGAGGACGCCGACATCAAAAACCAGTGACTCACCTACTCACCATCAAGCAGAACAGGGATAAGAGCCTTAGAGGCTACCTTGCCCGTTTCAACTAGGAGGCCCTCAAGATTGAGGAGCCAGATGATAAGGTAGCCCTGACCGATTTTATTGCTAGTCTTCACTCCTCCAATTTCATGTTCTCCGTCCTCAAGAAGTAGCCCTCCAGCATGCCCGAGCTGTTTTCAAGGGCACAGAAGTACATGAATGTTGAGGAAGTCACCAAGGCCCGTCAAGGTGAGTCCTTCGAAGGAGGGGAGAAAAGGAAGTACACTCGTGAGGACAAGTGGGAAGTAGAGAACAAAAGAAATAGAACAGAGAGAATCTTTGTCAAAGATCACCTTGGTCCCCCGTCTTTGAGAGAGTGACAAGCCTTCAAGCCACTCAATGCTTCTGTGGAGCATATCCTGTTCCAAATACAGGATGACCCTACAATACGCTGGCTAGAAAAGATGAAGACCATCCCGAATCGGAGGAATTTGAACAAGTACTGTCACTTCCACCGCGACCACGGCTATGATATTAACAACTGTTTTGATCTTGAAAGGTAGTTCGAGGAGCTTATACAACGTGGCCAGTTGAGGTAGTACATTGCTGGCAGAGGACAAGCCCCATCACCTGGCCGGGACCAGGCCGACAAA